ACACATGTGCTGATTTCTTCTCTGTGGAAAGATGACAAAGATTATTTCTAAGAATCCATTAAATAAGTGGCTGCGTAGGTGGAGACTGTTGAATGGTTGACAGTAAAGTATAAAGAAAGAGAAGCAACACGTCTTTACCCCATTCTCAAAGGGGTTCATGCCTGTAGCTGAAATATTCAAGATTTTATTGGAAAAAAAATAATCAGTAGCTTAAGTCCACAAGCTTACCTTCACACTGATCTCCTGTAGATGATAATGCGTAGCCTTGGCTACAAATACATCTGAAAGATCCTTCTGTGTTCCTGCAGCGTCCATTTGTACAGAGTGATCGGTGCCGGCATTCATCTATATCTGTAGTAGAAGAGACAGTGAAAATACCAATTACTAACAAAGTGGTGCAATAATCAGTTCTAAACAAAACAGCAAAGCAGAGGGTAAATATCCAGTACTGCTTCTCTTGATCTTATTTATTAACAAATGCAGACAGTTAATATAATGCAAAAAAAGATATGAAAATGCAGATTGGATGTTTGCCTTGAGATGACTGCATTCAGCATTCTCTCCTGCGGTGTCAATATATCCCTCAGCGCACAAGTGGGTGCACGCAGACACACGCAAATACACACACACACGCTGCTTGAGAGCTGCTTTTGTTTCTTTCCTATCTGCCAAAGGTAACAAGCCAGCAGCTCCAGTGATTCAGCAAAACCAACAACATACTTTCCAGCAGGATCACCACCATTTAACAAGGTGTGGTTTTCACATGCACACGGACAGGCTGTTCCCCTCTAAGTTGTACCTTCAGGCTCCTTTAAATACTTGCCTTGTAACAGTACTACTCCTCTAAGTAATGAAAAAGGTCTCTTTGCTTCCACAATCACTGCTAATCCCTCAGCGCTTCAGTTCTCATAAACTGGGGTCAGCCTGGGTTAACAGATGGACTTGAACACCAAATTTAAATTTTCCTATGAAACCCTCAAAATATTGGGGGGGAGTGGCACTTTGAATTCAGAATACAGCACATATCTTGTTTGAGCTCATAAACCTATTTTCCCCCCCTTATTTATAAAATACTTGTTAAGGAACAGTAATTAAATTGATATGGTAGGTTCTTAGTCACTTCTAGGATTTAAGCACAGCTGAATGTCTTTCTGAAAATATACTCCAATTCAAACAGGAGAAAGTTACTCAGTGAGGTTTTTTAGGTCTGTGTTATGGCTACAGCAGTCTGACCTCTTGAGTAATGGTCCCCTATGACCACAGAAGCTTTGAATTTAAGGATCACTGAAATCTGTGGGGCTGCATGAAGCATCTGGGCACATGTACAGGTCCTTACTTTAGAAGGGTGCACATTAAGAAGAACAGTCTGCACATGCCAGCTCAGTTTGGCAAGGGCCCTTTTCCATGAAAGGCTCAGAGGAAGCAGTCAAACTTTGTCTACATACTTTCCCCAAGACCAGTCTGCTGTGTGTCCTGGACAGCATATTTAATTCACTCAAGACACTTAACTTACACTGATGTTTCGTTTCAAACTTCCTGTCAAATTTACATGAACTATCATTTAGTTTTACTGGATTATTTTTAGCAGTCTGGAAGTGTTTGGTGCTATACACAGACACTTAGGGAAAAGAAAAACAAAACAAAACAAACAAAAAACCCCAAACAGACAAAACAAAAACAAACAAAAAAACACCAAAACATCTGACAAGAACTGTTCGGGTTTGTGTGCTTCCAGAGCTTGGAGCCATTCTCTTCAATTTCCACCTTTGGAGAGAGGTTTCAACACATCTTCTCTCCCTAAGGATAGAGATAGTCATACCTCCTGTACACACTCTACATTGTCTCTCAGACTACTCTGCTCTGATTTCAGACCTATTTCGTTCCACTGGAGCAGTCCTGATGGGAATTTTAGATGTAGCAGGAATGTAGAACCTGACACTTTGTAGGTACAGGTACTGTTCTAAGAAATATGACACCAAACTCTCTCTCTACTCAATGTACTACTTGAAATGCAGTGACACCATCGCAGGCATCACCTTATTGTTAACTGACACTGCTATGTTCCAAGAGGGTGCCACCCTGATTTTTTTGTTTGTTTGTTTGTTTTTTTTGATTGCACTCACCAACATGAAAGTAAAAAAGATAGAAAGAAAATCACAGAAATGCCACAGATTTTACAGAAATTCCAATGTAACGATATAAATATTACTACATGTTCTTGATTTGTAACATATGTCAAAATCCACAATGTAACCATGAAAGCCATAAAATGGAAATACTTCTTAGACTTTTGTTTATTTAGTTTCAGTGTTGTATGTTTGTTGTCTCTCCATTAGGAATACTATCAGAAGAAAAATATTATCTAAGAGGCAAATGCAGTCTTCTGAATTGTAATCATATGCTTTCCTACCTTCACACTGATTCTCTGATGCAGAGAGTTTGAAACCTTGGCCACAAATACACCTGAAAGACCCCTCCATATTTTCACATCGTCCATTTGTACAGAGATTGCCATACTGACATTCATCTATATCTGTGAATACAAAGAAAGCATAAGTGTACAATTGAGTATGACCATCTTTCAGTTCATCTTGAGAATTTATTCAAAGCCTGACATAAGCATGGTTATATAATTAGTTTGCCTGCATACTTTGACCATGACAACTGTCCATCAATTCTAATTTTAAAAAAGGATTTGAACCTGAGCTCCCCTGTACTCAAACACCCAACTATACTCAGAGTCCATGTGACTAAAGCAATGTTTTCCTCCTAATGCTGCAGGGACTACAGTTTAGGCTAACAAACCTTTTTTCTTAATTTTATTATCTTTTTTGTTTAAATAGGTGTTGCACTATGAACTGTGTCCAAAACATCTTTACCTGAGTAAGATTATTTTGCCCATAATTCTCCCACAGTAGCTTAAACCAGTGCAGCTTTAGTATAGAGAAGAGGTCAGCAAGTGCTGGGCACGTTCATTCTTGCATTACACACATCTACTGTTCAGATATGACCTGTGATAAAAGCACCAGCAGCCAGCAGTACCCTGTAACCATTAGCACTAATCCTCCTGCCATTGCAAGGAACAGTCCAGAACAACAGACACAACTCATGCTGGCAAGTTTGGGTTAGAAGTTGTTCTCTCTGAAACCATTTTAAGAACATGTGCTCTGGTCAGAATCCCTGGACCTGCTGCCTCTGCTTGTTCACCTGGAGCTTACCCACCAATGCAAAGGAACAGGCAGGTCCCCTTGGGAGCTGGAACAGATGTCGAACACAATTTCTGCTGTTGAGTTTTGCCCATTTTTTAAAGCTAGGTCAATTGATGTACAGGATTTAGAGGACTTCTCCAGTGCATAAGTTTACTATACGAAACACATGCATATGTCAGACCTTCTTAGACAATACTATCATTGTTATTATTATATTTCATTTTCGTTTAGTTATTAAACTGTTCTCATCTTAATCCATGAGTTTGTTTGTTTTTTTTTTTTTTTTTCCCCTCCAATTCTCCTCCCCACCCCACTGGGAGGAGGGAGGAGTCAGCAAACACCTGCAGAGTATTCAGTAGCTGGCTGTGGTTAAACCACGACAACCTACTTTCATCATTCTCTGAAAGAAGGGTATTAACGAGATAAGCCACTCTCTCTAGACAACATGAAAATTGCTGTTTTCCTATTTAAGAATAATTTTCAAGAATTTCTTCCAAACACAATTTGTATAAATCAAAGAAAAAAGCAAACACAGAAATAAATCTTCTGTTATAAACCCAGAATTCATTCAGTATTCTAAAATAATCAGTATTATATTTTTTCTAGAAGTGGTTTTCACTTAAAAAAATAAAGAGGTTAATTTTCAAATTATATTTATTTATTTTGAGGATGGAGTTAACCGCAAGCAGGTGTCCCTGTTTATATGGCAAAAGCTGTATTCTTTAGCTTCACTGATGCAGAAAAAGAATTATATCTTATTTGTTTTTATGTGCCTGAAATCATATTACTCCCAATTTTCCTGTCATTTGCCACCACAAAGCACACAAAATCTGTCAACACAAAAGAGCAAAACTGCTGATTATTTGAGTAGCACATGGAAAGCTGGAAAAAGATTAGTGGTCTTTAAACTATCATTGCAGCCCTTACTAGCTATTGTGAATATCTGCAGTAATTACCATTCAGGGCTCTTTTCAAGTTCTTTACAAGTTATAGAAGCTGATTCTGACAAAACCCATCTCCCCCAGACACAGAAGAAATCATCATTATTATCCATATTTCAAGTGACCTACAATTCTTGCATTCTCACTTGAGCCTCTAACTCCGTAAGCAAGATGCTCTGTTGCAGCCTGGCCAAAATAGCCAAGTGTCGTCCTCCTGAGAGGACAGCACAGATCCACTTAGATCTGTGTAGATCTACTGTCATTTTTCATTTTGTGATTTGAATGTGCAAATTTGGAAAGAGAGAAAGATGGGGGGAAAAAAAAAAAAATCACTGATTCAAGTAAACTTAAAAAAAAAAAAAAAAGCCCCTGAATGACACAAATTCATTGAGGGATGTGGGACAGTAGCAATTTCAAGACAATGAGGATGCAGAGTATGTAGCTCCTGTTTTTCATTTCTTCAGCATGCATCTCATATCAGACATTCCCACCTAAACTGCAATTAAATGTATTCCATGTAAGTTTGAATTGAACTGATTGATTTGACTTTATTAAACCACAGCACCTATGCTCTTGGCTTTAATCCTAGAAATTACAGTATCAATACCACCAAAGAACTGCAGAAGTTACACGAGACTTTCTAGGGCATAAAGGGCAGGCAGAGGAATGAGGTGAGGTTCCAAAAAGAAAAAAAAAACAAGCACTGGGGAAAACAAGCAGAGCTGCAGCTGACCTTAACTAACAGCAGACAGAAATGAATTTATGGAACAATGGACTCAAATGCCCTTCACAGATAACTTGGGAAATACTTTCCTTTCTAGTGTATTTAAATTGTACCATATTGCAAAGCTACAAATTTAAGACAAACTGTCTGCATTACACTTTCTAAAATGTGTATGGCTCATCTCCAACATGATGTAAGTCTAGGATAAACAGAAAAAGAAGACTGATCATATCGCTAATGACGTGAGATGTCTAGGCTTAGAACATTTCATAAAACAAAGGAAAAAAGGAAACTACATGTAGTAATCGAGGGAAAAAAAGTATCAGCAATTTGGAACCAAGACATCCCTTACACAATTTAGCTCTGAGCTGTTTGTAAATCTGAGCAGAGCAGTGAATTTTCTCTCGTTCATGCTCCTACTAACCAAGTTAACAAGAATGAAACAAGTGGAAGTTATGCCATGACATATTCAACCAGGCTATTTTCATAAATTGGTACAGAAATCAAGCTTGATTTCTTCATTATATACCGTGTCTGAGAACAAAGTAATTTAAAAAAAGCTTGTATTTTCAATTACTGTTGAATGAAATAGGGACCCAGGGCACAGTTCTGTCATTGGGTTGTAACTTTGACGCAATAGGAAATACAGCATCTCATAGCAAGAACTATAGCCAGAGATACAAAGAGTACAGAACATACCATGGCACTGTCCACTCCAGCCTCTGAATCCCACTCTGCAAGGAATGCACTGGTAAGAGCCAGGAGCATTAATGCACTGTGCATCTGGACAAGTAGCTGGCATCAGGCATTCATCAATGTCTTTGAAAGAGAAGGCAAAAGAAAATACTGGTCAAAGCTATAAGAGAGTACTGAACAATAAACCAATCTGATTATTCTGACTGTGCTTATGTTTACTAATACATTTGAAGAGTTGTGTATTTTGTCTGTTATAGACCCAGGATGGTCCAAGTTTATAACAGATTTGTACTAGTGAAAGGGCATCTCTGAGAAACACATTAGAACATAACACATGCAGCTGAACCTGAACTTCCATTTATACTGCAACTCTTTGGTAGGCTCTCCATAACACAGCAGATCAGATTTCTTGCTTAGATATGTAAGAATAACTTTGATTACATCACCTCTTTACCATACCAAAGTGTCCTGAAGTTCTTCCTATAGTCAATCTCAAGAGACCTTAGAAGTGCATTGCAACAACAATAAAATTGTAACTCTAGCTTCTCAAAACAAAGAGGAAATTGGTATTCTCCAGTGTTCTGCAGTTATGCAGCATATAAGTATTATGTGGACTATAAATTTAATTCTGTGAATGTTAATCAAAGCTGTTTACAGGGAGTAGGGAGTTAATTATGTCTGAAAGAAGGCACAAGCAACCCACACACCACTGAGACTGTTAATGCCTAGGGTGATAGAGGGGACTTGGACTTGTTGCATCAGGAAAGGCCCTGGTTTACCCATGACAAAACAAGAGACAGGTCCTGAAAAGTTCATGGATCTCATGTCCAGGCTCTGAGCATTTACCAAGAACTTGTTATCCTGTACCAAAGAAACCCAGAATACATGCAAGATATGCAATCTAAAAGAGACTGCATACAAAACTGACTTTTAAAGACAAGTTGCTGTCAAGTGACCAATGATCAGAAGATGCTGGAATTAAAATGGTGTAGGCAGCCTCATTCCAGTCTGCTCCAATATTTGAGCATAATTTTATAATAAGGTCTTTAGTTACATGATAATGATAATCTTTCCTACCAAATACCTGCTTCATGCACTGTACAGAACTAATAAAATAGTCAGTCACCTCTCAACTTAGCTTCCTAGGACCCTGTTACTTCCCTGCCCCAAGCCTAGTGGTTGTGACTTCTGCAGTTAAGAACAACTATTCCAGCACAGATGGTAGAGAGGCAATAAACTCCTAATATTGTGAATAAGCAGAAAGGAAAGTAGCCTCCAATACTTATAATTAAACTGGACAATGCTGCAACCTTCAAAGGTTAAATATCCCAGCTCCAAACAGCAAACTGGATGTGGACAAATCACATTTCTTCATAGAGTCATGATTGTCCAGCTGAGAATACTTTCTCAAAAAAAAACAACAGGCCTCTTCAGCTGCTATGATGTGGAGCTGCAAACATTTATCAGTGAAACTGCTGTGAGACATTAAATTAACAAAAAACAAAAAAAAAATCCACTTCTGCCGAAACTTGTTCTCAGAACTGCCTGGACTGTATCTGTCCTCAAATGAATGACATATTTGGCACAAAAATTTTCAGTCGAAATAGTCTAGATGCTGCAAAACTTAAGGAAATCACAAAAAGATTTGATAGGAATACTTAGTTGTATGCAGTGATGTTCAACTATGCACATAACACTGTTCTATATAAACAACAGACTTCAAAACAACAATATTGCAATAACTCTTTATGTTTCCTAGAGTAGGCCCATGACAGAGCTTGCATGAGTATAGCTTGAAGGCAGAATGAAGATAGGGTGAGGAAATGTAAGTGAACTGTGTGTATTGTGTGCAGCTTGGACGAGTCTTGTCTTTGTTTTGGAAGTGTGGAGGAGGTGGGAAGGAGTTATTTGTGGAATCTGGAATCTGTCAGTAGGGTGACTATAATGTGTAGGTGTAATGACATGGTGAAATGATTCCTTGAATGTGTCATTTCCTCGGTGTGATGGGTTTAGCGTAGGAGGGATTTTCCCTTAAGCAATGTTGTGGTTTGAGGCTTGGGGACAGGACAGGTGATCTTCTAGAACCCAGGAGGGTCCCGGGGAAAGCAGTTCATTCCCTCCCCTTCCTCTCCACGATCTTTAAAAGAGGTAGGAAGTGGGTGCTTCACTCTATTATGTTCTGGTTCCCTGTAAAAAGGGCTTCAGGGCAGGACCCACACGGAACAGAATTGTGTGCTTCCCCCCCCAGAGAGAGAGAGGCAGGCTTTGAACTGACTGGAAGTTAAACAAAAAATAAATATATTGTTTAACAGGGAACAGAAAGCAAAAAAAAGGGAAGTAAATATATATACAAGGATGGGAGGAATACAAAGTAAACCAGATATACAAACCCCAAATCTCAGATGGCTCAGGACTGCATGGAATGAGGCCCGCTGACCTCCAGCTCACCAGGAGCCAGAGCAGCAGGGCAGGGAGGGCCAGTACCCACTTCCTGCCTCTTTTAAAGAGTGTGGAGAGGAAGGGGAGGGAATAAACTGTTTGACACACCCCCCCCTCACCTCCCCAGGTCCTAGAAGATCACCTGTCCCATCCCCAAGCCTCAAACCACAACAAGCAACCTTAAATAGCTTTCAACACAGAATTTGGTTTCAGAAATTACATATTGTTAAGTTAAATGATACAGGGCTACCACCACAATACTTAAAATACAAGCTAATAAAAAAATTGACACACTGTGACATTCTGATTTCTAACCTATTTTAATCATATATTGCCTATTGACAGAGAAGATCTGGAAAACACAGAATGTGTGAAACATCTATTTATGTCTGAATAGAAAGAGGAATCTTTCAGCAATGCTCAGAGCAGCAAATATATCCACAGCAGCTTTTAGTTTCTTATTTGCTAGGCAATTGAACACAGTGATTTTATTCTTTCCTAGGAAACCTAGACAAAATCATGAAGAAAACTTCAAAACAAAATGGCTGCTTGTGGCTTTTAGTTCACTATTCAAGCTGAAAATGAAAAAATAAAAAAGAATGTGAAAAAAGGCAAAAAGATCACACTGAAAAATAATGTGGTTTTGAAGGTCAGATGTCCTAAAATCTCCTGCAACATGAAACAGCTGCTCTCTATATATCCAAAATTTTTAAAAGTCAACCTATCATTGCTACCTGTTATAATATAGGAATTTTTTTTTTTAAAGAAACTTGATAAAGTATGCAAGGAAGAACTAACAATGAAATTAACAGAAGGCAACTCATTAAAACAGCTGGTCTGAGATGGTTCTGTGCATAGTGGGGAACTACTCTGCAGCATTGTAAATCTAAATAATAAGAACTGAATTGTGGTTCCAGGCATCAAAGAACTGGCAAGACTGAAGAGCACTCAAAAAGGTTTCTTGTTTAAGACTGCAGCCTCTGAGAATTCTCCCTTTGCAGCTCAAGCAGCAGTGCTGAGCCTTTCCCGAACAGCAGGCAATGTTAATAATTCCAAACAGCAGTAAGATTTGGCATTGCTTTTGTGATATGAATAAATGGTAGCTTCACTTCATCATCCAGGACATATTGCAGATGTAACAAACAATGTCCTTTTGATCATTCTGCCATGTTCAGCTGGTGTACAGGGGGATGTTAACTGATCTGAAGGCAAATAACTAAAGGAAGTAGCTGTGAGAGGAATCCAGCAGTAAGATTAAGATAGAGAAATTGCCCATGGAAATAAGCATAGAGTAGGATGGGGAAAGGGAACTCTAAACCCAAATAGATATAAAACCACTGTGCCAAGACATTCCATCTGACATCAAACAACAGACGGAGATTGAAATTAATTAAAAGAAATACCAGATAGAAAAATACTAAGTTAAACATGGAAAAACGTGTTGAGCTATTTTGATATTTCCATCTCATGGCCAGACTTCTTCAAAAATAAAGAAACGGATGTGAAGCTTTCTGTGGACATCAGAAACAGCAGTAAATGTGAACAAATGGCTCATCCTACTGCAGTTGTTTGGCTTGGCAATCGTTACTGTGTTACTGCTGGTGACTAGTCCAAACTTACCTTCACATTCACCTCTCCTGTTCATTTGGTACCCACTGTCACAATATTCGCATCTGTATGAGCCAACAGTATTTATACAAAAGCCTTCCCCACAAATATGAGGTCTTGAACATTCATTAAAATCTGCAGATGAAAAAGAGAATAGAAACTTTGCTTCACCGGGAAATTACTGAATGCTTGCACCTCCTCTAAACTCTGCTTTAATTAACCCAAGTAACTTTGGATTTTTGAAGCTGTTTACACACCACAGACCTACAGATGTTCTTACTGAGCAGTTCCATCTTTTCCTCACTACTTGTAATTGCAGAGAGAATGAGATCTAGAAACAATCAGGCTGTAGGAGGAAGGCCAGCGAGCAGCCCTGTGGTTGCAAACACGTGTGTCACTGCCTGCATACTGTGCCCAAGGCAGCAGTGCTAACCTGAGGAAGATCACAGCCAGTTCAGGCTGTTCCTATTGCTCTGCAAAAATCCATGTCTGCTTGCAGCTATATTTAAAAATGTTTTGTTACAGCTGTTGGTGGTTGAAAAAGTTTTGGTTATTTTCCACCACAGAAGGTAAAACTTACTAAATGGTAATTTTCCTAAACAAGCATGATACTGAATAAATTCTTGTTTTTCAACAAATAATCATTTTGAAAAGTAGTAGAAGCTACTCAAATATTTTTTTCACCATTATATCTGGTGAGAAACAGTTAAAAATACTTCGAGACATCAGTCCAGCACTAATGACACTGAGGAAAAAAAACTGTAAAGGGGACTTCAGCGGGTTTCAGATAAGCTTTTTGATTCATTTTTACCATTGTTTTTTCTATAAAGAAGGCTAGTAATTACCAACGCAGTCAGTTCCATCTTCACTGGCCATGAATCCAGCTTGGCAAATACATAGGAAACTTCCTTCTGTATTTTCACAGCGTCCAAGGGAACAGAGATGGGGTGCCTGATTACACTCATTAATATCTATAAAAGAAATTGAAATATAAGACTATAGAATAACATACCTAGTTGTGATTCTTTTTGTTCACTCTATGCCGTGCTTTTGAAAAGACTGATTACTATTTGGAAAAGTATATGTCTTCCTATCCCTCAGAGCTGCCAAAAATACGCATTAAATAGTTCTGGTTGGAAAAAATGCTCTTTTTGGCTTAGATGATAAGAATATTGCATTGATCTGAAGCATGTGATGTGATTAATATTCACATCACTACACTGAAGGCAAGCTGAGCACAACCTGCAAGCACGGAACATTAACTGAATTTGGATGAAATGGAAAGATTTTAAGTTGCCATTTGGCTGTGTTTGCATGTAAATTTTTTTAAATACTGTAGTTGCACCTGATATCATTTCTATCAGTGTGAAGATACGAAACTTTTGGTAGCATGAAAAGTTGACAGTGTATAATCTGGCAACATCATACTCTAAACTCTTTCTGATCCAAGTCACAGAGGAACCAGCATACCCTGAATGAAGGAAAGATACTGACACAGCTGCTTCCAAATCTGAAACAGCTCATGTAGAGCCAGTCTGGGCTCTGCCTCATGTTTATCAGAGGCCTCCGTTCCAGAACTTGCTAGCATAGAAGGGGATGAAGACTTCATTTTGCAGACCTACTAATACACTTCTAGGATGTGTACAACATGCTTTCTCTTTCAGCAGAAGGTTGAAAGGAAAGATCTAACAAAATGACTGGCTTTAGACCAGCTACAGAGCAGGTAGCTTGGTAAATGACTCTGAGAAAGAGGCACTACTCCAGTTGTTTCTTCTCCAAACAGAAGCATATTTCTTCCTAGCAGTATGACAACTTTAGATACCTGTTATAAAGCTGAGAAGACATGGTCTGCCCAATCACTTCTTCTCCCATTTCACAACGGGAAACTCTTTCAATTTAATTAAATTCACGTTCAGTTCTGAGTAGCTGAAAGGCTGTATCAGAGACCAGCTGGCACATTCTATTTGACATATAAAAAAACAGTTTCTGTGTAGTTTGGAAACATTCAGTAGAGGAAGCAACTCCTCACTGCTCTGTAGCATATTTCCCCTGACCAGACTCCACATTTCAAGCATTTCACAGCATGGTTATTTCAGATTTTTGAAAGCGTCCATTCATACCAGAGCACTTTGTCTGCTGATCGTTCAGTTTGTACCCCTCGTAACAGATGCAAGTGTATCCCACAGGCAAATTAACACAGTGCCCTGCTCCACAGATATCAGGATTAACTGTACATTCGTTGATTTCTAAGCAAATGAAAAAAAAAATTCATGTTAAATCCTCCCACATAGTTCCATAAATGTACAATGTTCTGCAATCCAAGTAGAAAGATCAGGCCTGAAAACAACTTTAAATCAAGTTCGTAGGTCATGTCCCATCCAAAATCTATAAATGGGTACATAAAAAAATAAAGTAAAATATAAAAAACATTTATAAAATATTTACAATTATTAGTTTAAAATAATATTATATTAAAGTTATATTATTTTATAATGATTATAAAATATATTTATACTTTACATTTATAAAATACAAAATGATAATATAAAAATTTTGTGATTTAACCTTTACATAGAAAAGTAAGAAATTATCTAGTGTGTTTCTGATTATTTTTACAGAATACTCGTCTGTTAATGGCTTAGATGCATTGGTAAGCTAAGGAGATTCAGATATGGACAACATTGGATGCTAAACCCTTCCTGTACTTTTAGATATTCTCAAAGTACGTGTGCTACTGCAAAAAATATGAATGACCGTGTTTAGCTGCAATTCAAACTAAGGTTATACAGTAGCATGGAATTGTAACTCCCAAAAAAGCAGTTACCTTCTCTAAAGAATCACTTATCCAAATGAAATCTAAATGTAACCTATTTTAAAATAACTAAATATTAAGACACAGAATTAAAGCACTGAAAAACTTCTCAACTCTAACTGCATTTGGCTTTTTAAATCAAATTTAGGCTTTTGTCCTACAAATTTTCACTTGTACTTTATTGTCTCTTAAATATCTTAGCAACACTAGGAACTTTATCTTAACAACAGGCTGATTTGTCTATAGCATACTGCAATTTCTAGATCCACTCCTTATCCTGAGGAAAGAAAAAAAAACCAGCAGAACATGGAAAACTACCTTTTTTTTTTCCCCTGATACAAGTTCCCAGAGGGTAACTTTCTTTCCCCGTAAGGAAGCAAACTGCTGGCTGGCAGAAGGGGCACAGTCACAATACAGTGACTCCCAGATTCTGGTTTGACAATTATCATTACTAGAGCTTTCATACGAGATTGGTGAACTGTCATTATCGGTAATTGAAGGGGGAAGCTGAATGTTTACAGAAGGACAGGATACTTTCTCTACTCTTACAGTAAATTCAAGAGGATTTAACTGCAGACAGAATCACATTTCAAACAACTGGGTGATTTAGACCTTGCTCATGTTGTGTGCAACTCAAAATCCCATTCCTGCATGAAGGAAAGCCATCTTTGAATAGTGAATCTTTGATTAAAAGCATGTGCAAATTCTCCCTGTGAATGCAAACTGGGAAGTCTCTTGGTACACCTCGATATCTCTACCATATGAAATACTGCATCTTAAAGTATTTACCTGGACATTGCAATTACTTCAAAGCTGTGTTAATTTTGAGAGACTAGTCAACATGACATTGTAATGCTCATATATATATATACACATACTACATTCACCTATTTGTTTTCAAACTAACAGCAAGTGAAATTTCCAGGCCTTTGGGACCCGGCCATCACAGACAAGTTTCAGCTGTGACAGGAGCATTACCTGTACTTCTGTTATTTTCACTTCTTGACACGGGGATGTAGAAAAAGCAACTTTAACACATCAAAAAAGGAAGAAGCACAACTGTAAAAAGAACATTTCAAAACAGATCTAACAGGAATTCTTCAACTGTCTACAGACCTGACTTGTCTTCAAGAGGCCTTCAGTTCTGAACTTGGGTTGTAGATCACGAAACCTGAGGTGGACTTACTAATTTTTCCTGCTATCCTTTAGCTGCAGTCACAAAAATGGAGGGCCCTGTCCTAACTCTGTTGGCAGTACTCACATCACTGTGCTGTTCTCTCACCCAGAGTATTCCTTTCTGTTCTACAGCTATACTCTCTTTGCTATTATAATCAGAAGTAGCATGGAACAAGTTATAGTGTCAGGAACTCTCAGTCATTTCTTAATTTATTTTAGTTCTAAACCAAAATACAATACCTGTAACTTGAGTAGGTGCAATTACTTGACTTGCACTCGAAGTAGAGACTTCAGGAGCAACTTCAACAGGCAGAGGAGGAGATGTTTTCTCAATCACTACTGTGTGACATGGAATTGAAATCAATCACATCCAAAAAAAAAAAAAACCCTTAAAGCATTAAAAAAAAAAATCCCTTAAAGAATTCACACATGATAGGAGCGAGCCAGACACTATGGAGCTTTTCATTAGTTTATTGCACTTAGATCTGGAGTAAAATAATAGCTGAGTTTTCCATCATTCTACTATTTGTGAAAAAGTCTGAGGTGCTAAAGAAAGCAAGCACAATAGTAAAACTTTTTCAGTGAAAGTTACGAGTAAATCTACAAGCAGGAACAGTAAAGTTTCCTTTTCAAAGGGATACAAGGCCTCAAGCCTGCTGTCATTAAAATTCTCATGTACATCATCAAGGATATCACTTTTGCCTAAAATATGTCTTTGCCTTCTTAACAATTCTACCAGCCAATGATAATCTCTCAATTCTCCCCACTTCAGCTTCCACAGTGTTCCCCCTTCCCCCCATTTCTGTATTCTGCTCATGGAAAAATTACTTGTGAAGATGCCATGGATTTTTCATTAACCTCTGTTACAATTGCCACCTTCCCATTCTCTGAAGAATTGTAAGAACTCTCCCACACAAGACAAGTCAAAACAAATTACCTGGAAACTGTGGATGCAGGTTAATTGTTGAAATTCCAGGAGAAAGCTGAGGCTGCCCAGGCTCTAGATTAGGCTGCTTTTCTTGATCAAGTGAAGCTAATTCCTAAAAGAATGATTAAAAACTTACATTCTGAAAAAATTCTCTTAATTCAGCTATCATTACAACCCAAAAAATCCCTACTTGAGAAACTGCTAACATTCTCACGAGTGGCTTTTGATTGCATATTATTAATTACCACCAATTTAAGCCTGAAAGAACTTGGAATACTATGTTTACAGAATGGGATACAATTTAACATTGAATTTATTTGCAGCAGCCATTTAATGGAGCTTCTAATTGAACCTTTGGCTTTGTCCCTCCATAGCTCTCCTAACCTCTGGTCTTTAATTCCTTATCAGTAGTATTTAACTGCAGTTCAGCATCACACAAAAGTATAGAGTCACATATGTCTCTAAGTCTTTGAACACTGTGAAAGGTTCTCTCTTAGCTATTGCATTTAATCTTATTTTCATAGAAGTGTTAGATGCTTGTAAGTCTTTAGGGCAATGAAATGAAGCACAACTGCAACAAGTCAAAACAAATCTTATCTTATGCCTAGAGAACCTGGAGCCTCCAGAACAGGAGACTTAACACAGACACACACCTACTCTTCTTAAAAAAGCTAGGAAACTAACTTGGGCATTAATAGAAGCTTCTTAAGCAGGTGTCACAAATGCTTCATACTGTTTCTCTGCAATTTGTTTTCCCTAGCTTTCAGTATCTGTGACTCTCCTCCATACTGTCTGAAGAGGATACTTCAGTATCCTCTTCTTCACAGGTTCCAGAATGAGATAGAAGACTATAGTACTAGACCATCCACCAAAGCCCTAAAGAGAGGGTGAAACAATATCTTTCCTGCCTGTTGTTGAATATAATAATATATATGAGCTCTTTTTGACTCAGGGTTAGCACTGTAAGTTTACAGAGAGTTGTTCGTTCCTCATAAATCCTAAGTCTTATTCAGAGTTATCATATCACAACTCATACACATGGTCTGCATTCTAATTACTAGACAAATCACATCATGTTTTACCTGATCAGGAGCTGCAGTTGCCACTAAAACCAGAAAGAAAAAGGAAAATGAATCAGTCTTCACAAAATATTTACCTACACATTCTATTTAAAACTGCTCGTGCACTTTAAAGTAGTTGTTGCCATCAGAGAAAAAATTTCAGGCTCCAACCTCATTCCAAAATGGTGCAAACCTGAAGTATGTTCCGAAAGCAAGCATAAAAACTAACCTGGAATCAGAATAAGATTCTATACACTGAACAGTGCTTATAAATATTTAATTAGTATTCAGCTGCCACATAGGTTTCTGAACTGTTTCCTTCAAAACAATTAGAGAAAAATCACAGGTTAACTCATTGACTTAACTTTTAAAATTCCTTCCAGGGAATATCAATGTCTATAATTACTCTAAAGGTAAATTAATATCATAATGATACATAAGTAACCATTAACAAATCTGTAAGAATTTATTGTAAAAAGAAAAATAAACCAAGTTTTGAAATTTGTCTTTTCTTCAAGCAATCAAAAGTTGGTTTGTTTCTGTTTGTTTGTTTGTGTTTTTTTTTTTTTTTTTTCCTTCCACAAAAGTGACTTATTTTTCTGTGAAGGAGAGGTAGAAATTTCATGTAAGTTTTTATTTTACATTGCAGTTTGCCTATTTTGAATTTGTCTTTTACTCAAGGAAATCTATATGCTTCTGTAAACAACTGTAAGAATATTTTTCTTTTCATACTATAAGTTTTTGTTTTTTTTCAAAGAAATCACTCTTCTTGCTCTAGTTTCTTTAGTAGTACTAGGGAGGCTGATTATCAGAATGGAAAGAACTGACAGGAAAGTCTCAAAAATTCCAAATGCAAACCTATCAAAATATTGAATATACAATTCAAACGTGTATGTGTCATTACTGATTTAGAGTAAGCATGTTTTTAAAAGTTTTTTATTTTTCAAAAAAGTTCTCTTTTTCTCAAGATTATCTGTTTTATGGTTTTCTAGAACATGGCAATCTTTCTAAGTAATATTTTAACAAATAAGACACCACTTTTTTCCACTTTGTAACACAGAAAAGCCCAGAGGTTTATATGTGATTTTATAATCCAGCACAGTCCGTAAATATAGGTGAGTGGCTTATTCTTCCCTCTGGATTCAATTTCTTTTTGAAGCTCTCAATTTCTTTTTAAAAGCAAAACTAGAGAAGTGATTTTAAGTAGAAAGTAAGCCTATTGTTCAGAATTTTGCTAACTCAGCTGACTGAAACTCTTCCCAATCATGTCTCGCATCCAGATATGTAACTGCTACTTGAAAATAACCTGTTATATGCTCTGTATCACGAGAGAGCTCTTCAGCAATGTATTTCTTCTTGTCTAGAGTGAGTTCATGGCAAGTCTGCTGGCAATGTGTAATAGAGCTGCTTCTGCATTTATTTGCTTCTGTATTTGTCTTAGACTCAGGACAATTCTGGCTGTATAAGTTCTTAGAGGAGCATGCAGAAAATAAGGTCTGAGAAATATCTTGGAGGACTCAACTGATTGTTAAATAGCCCAGCAGAATGGGGTTGATCCAACGTGGTGACACTGAGGGAGTGCACAGGAGCAGGGCTGAGAGCAGGCCGTGTGAAGGGGATGCACACTCACATCAGGTGGTGCTTATCCACAGGAGCATATAGAAGGAAGATGATGAAAACCACTTAGCTTCTGCCACCCCAAACACTAGTAAATCAAAGCCTGAGTTGAGTCCTTTGTTATATATCATAGATTCACAAAAAGTCTTACAACAAATATCTACAATTTTTATCATAAAAAATTAATCAGATTAAAGCAGTCTGTCTGTCTCTGTGGTGTTCTCAGCATCTGGTAGGACCTATAGGTAAAGTTCCAGAAGTAGATACTGTAGTACAACAGACTCCACAACCTGGAAGGCTCTGCTGGGAGAAGCAACGCCTCTGTCCTGCACTGGACGCAGCTACTCCAACAAAGAAACATAACCATTGAAGACACATGCACAGAAATATAAAAAAGACTAAATTTTCCCACTCTCACCTTCTTGCACAGCCATCTCAGTCTCACTTTTCTGTGAGAAGGTCAGTGCCTCCACTGGCTCTTCCTTTGCTGGGAGAGGTGGAGGAGAAGTACCTTTAGCAACAGGCTGAGTAATCGGGGTCTTGCCAATGACAGGTGGCTGTACTCTAACTGCAGGGTGATGATATAGCTTGTTTCTGTGAGGGCCAGAAACCGTATAACCCATTCCACCAGGGCAGATTTCCTTAAAAGCAGCTAGATTTGGGATGGGAAAATATTCCTTTTAGGAGGCTAAAAGTGCAATATGTTGACATAGTGGAAAATATAATGACTACCGCTAATAAATTTAATCCCATATTGTAAGTACATTTTTACAAAAAACTACTTAAAGACAAGCTAAGCATTGCAGGCTAATATGGCTAAGCATTCTCTCAGAAGCATGTTCTGGCCGTTATTCCCACAAGGTTTCCACTCCAGTTTACCATCTTTCTTCAGTTATGATTAATCCTTCGGTATATCAAAATAATTTTTTTGTATTAATCTTTCTCAAACAGTATATCCCTTCCAAGTGGGAATTTAAATATGAAAATTGTGGTAATCATCTACATTGCATAAGCAATGAAGGTCACCATTTCTGCCCTACTCTTTTTGCACCAATGGAAGGAAAACAGCTCACCATCCCTGTACTAGAGGAGCAGAAGAATATCAACCAGTAACAACATTCATTCACAGGACTATATCAGAGGTCTCATACCAGCCCTGATCCAAATTCCACTGAATTGAATAAGTCTTTCCGCTGACCTCAGTGGGCTGCATAAAAACAAGATGGGGATCATAAAAAGCCAAATCACCACTGGAAGAGAGGGGAAATAATCTTGTTTATAAAGCTGCTACAGAAGAAGGTAATGAAAGTCAGGCAGCAGCACCTGCTCTGATCTCTGCAGCTGCTCTACATGACCATCAGGTTTTGCAGTCCTAGTGGAAGACTAGAATGAAAAAGAAATACAAATCAGCCTTCCTTCCCACCAAAGGTAATAGCTATGCTCCTGTCAGGGACAGGAAGACTTTCAGAACGAGTCAGGGCAGTGCTTCATTGTCCTCACTGCTCTGCGCAAAGCCATGTTGGGATGAAACATCAAAGATTTAGTCTCTTATATAGGCAATGTGATTTCTTACAGATTCTTCAGAGATGTGCAGAGTGGGGCATTGCTAAGTTCACAATTCTGCTTTGAACAATTTTGAAATTAATTAGTTTTGAAAATTAATTAGCATCTAAAATAAACCCACAAAATACTAGCGCTAGGTACTCCACAAATGAATTAATTAAATTATACATTAAATTGTAGGATGCATTAATTGCATACTGTGTTCTGATGGTGTCTTCGTAACAGAAAAGAGTCAACCTGATTAAGTTGAGTGGACTCAGAATGAAGAAACACCTTTTGCTGGGAAATGCTAATACCAAAACTTACACAGAAACACCCAACCAGGGCTGGGAATTCTGGTCAAAGGTGGAAGACAGAGAAAATTTGATGCCTGTCCCTTCAAATGCATACTCAGGATGTAGGTAATCTCTTTTCAGGTCACAGTCTCTCAAATGCAGAACAGAAATTTGATATTTATTCTACAACAGCTCTGATAAGTGCTCTTAATACCTGGTTACACAAAGGTGGCCTCTCTCAGTCTCACTTTGGGAGCTGGTCTACTTTGTACAAATATTTTAATAGCTATCAGAGAGAGAGAGATTGTGACTTTTTAATTCAATGACTCTTAACATGGGATGCTGCAGTAAATACATTACCCCTTTCTGGAGTATCTCAGTTTCACATATTTTTCATAGAAAACTCTGAAAGATTATGAATTTAACCTGTTATAGAAAGGAACATATTTTTAAATCATGAAAGTTACTACGGAATGGGAAAAGCGATTCCACAAAGCTCATCAGAATTTTCTACTCATAGATTTTTCTCTCTGAAGTATTTTCATTAAGAAAAAAATCAGTAAAATAACTAATTCTACAAAATATTCAATGATGTATTTTTAATAACCAAAGAGTTGTCAACAAAACAATATATTCTCTGCTCCAGAATACACATAACTGGGCATAAAGCCTCATGCAATATTCTCATAGATGTAAAGCATTTAAATAGGAAGTAATCTGATGAGATTATATTTTTTCTCCAACAAAAGGTCACAGAAATATTACTTATCTGAAAGTGAACTGCATTTTTAAAATCCTAACCAGTGATCTAGCAAACCAGTGGTCATGCAGGAAATCATGACCATGATTTCCTTTAAAAATCAATTGAAATGCTCAAAAATGTTGGTCACTCCAATTTTTGTAAGGCCACCTTAAAAAAGTAAGGAATCTGCTGCTCTGACTCTGATGGTAGCTGTGGATTTCCCAAGGTAGCTAGCTAAGGTATTCTCAAAATTTGAGTCTTTATATATAAAATACTTGAGAGAAATATGTGACCTGTATCAGAACACTGAAACCTGTAGCAGCAACTTCAGTAAGAACACTGGATTACCACTACAAATACCTGTGCTAAAATACTGATCAGGCTGGACATTGTGTATGTTACAATAAGTAGTGATATTTTTTAAAAAAAAAAAAAATTAATTTGACCACACCTTTGGACAAAAAAATAATATTCAACAGATTTTGAATAAAAATTCCAACTTTGGCCATTTACATTACAAGCAAAATTTGGGAATAGGAAGTACTCAAAAGTAGCATCTGTAATGTGAATATCTTGATTTATGAGCAGCCTAAATGAGGGTGGTGACCAACCAAGCTGGTATTTTCCAAGCCCTTACATATTTTAAAATGAGCAGGACTCCAAGTCAACACCTCAATTATAAGTGAGCTTTATGTATTGAGTAATGAAATGTTTAAGTGAAAGGTGGAAAGAAATGTTTAACTACCAGCTTACTGTTAAGAAGGCAACGCCATACTTAGCACTTTCCTCAAAATGGATGCTAAAAATAAGATGGAAGGTTAGAAAGCAGAGCTACTCCCATACATATCCCAACTGTAATGTAAACTACAATGCATGGCATTCTGTAACCTAATTCTGAAAAGCTGCCCCCTTTCACCAGTGGCTTTAAGAACTGAAGAGAATCAGATTTTGTGTTAATTTGCCTGTATCTACAGTCAGAATATAAGGTACAATAGATTTATCTGCATGTGATAAAGAATCAAAGTTCAAGGACCTATTGTGAGATGCAAATGCTGTTAATCTGTAATTCCATCACAATATATCAAGGATTACTCCTTTGTTTAAATCACAAATCCCTATGAACAAGGCTACTACATATGTGACTACTATCATGTAGACAACTCATAATTTACTGATGGATACTTCCTGTTTAAAATTTTTTTTTTTTTGTTTTTTTTTTTAAAGCATGCATAACATACAGTATGGGGGCAAGAGCCTGTATTTTCAATCGTCAGTTCTTACCTGTTCCTGGAAGAGGACACTTCTCACAGTGTGGGCCCCAGGCTTTGCCAACACTGCAACAGCAAAGCTGCTTGCTGAGCTGAACAGAGAGAGGATGCATGCATTGCTTTCCTGCACTAACAAACCGGTAGCAGGGCCCTTTCTCTTCAGCAACAATAGGATTATCAGCTGCAATAAAAGTGGAAGAGAGGATGGTACTGTTCACATAAAAAGCAAAAGAGAGGACCACCACTAGATTTCCAACACCAGTTAAATAGATGTTTGAAATAAAACTTCTGCAGATGGTAATATTAATCCATCTCAAAACACAATCACAACATAAAAGAAAATTCTTATTTTGCATCAAACGTTCCTGAACTCCAACTCATCCTCGAACAAGGCTAGAAAGTATTTTAAGGGGAATAAAGAAAAAATAATTCCAAACCAGCAGTTGCCATATTGCTACAATAAAGAGAATCAGCTTTCTCACTTGTACATTGCTGAAGTCCAACTGCTGAACACTAACATAAATCACTGTCAATATACAATTGTGTCAAGCTACATAGCCACTGGAACATTTAGCTATATGTAGACTACATAAATAAGACTACAAAAGGATTAAGCATCATACATGATACTTTTTTAATAAAAGAGACAATTGCATATTTACAGTTTAAGCTTAGTTTAAATGTGGAAGAGCCAAAGGCCATAAGCTATGACTAGTATGAGCTAACAAGAAACAAAGATCCAAGCAGCTTTCTAATGCATCTGCATTAACATACAGTTAACAGATCTAGCTAATATGTTCACTTAAAAAATACAAAGACCAGCTGACTTTCAACATGAAATAAAAGCAAAAGTAAAAACCAAGTCCCTTTTCATGGTCTTAAACTGAAAAGCAATAAGAAATTATTCAAAATAGTGAAAAACTTTCTCAGAAATAGTGTGTCATGAATGACTAGCATGAGACTATTATGTTGAAAAAATGGAAGAATTCACCTATGGCTCTAGATTATATTTTATAAACCCAAAGATAACTCAGATAAGGAGGTTATGAATGAGACATGTTTCACTTGCAAATACTCTCCTCCCCTAAGAAGAGAATTTTGTTGTTCTCTATGCCTTCTTTTCTTCTTGCAAAGATAGTTGATTTCAAACCACAGCAAACCTGATTAACAGAGGAAAACATTTGCATTCGTGCTGTTCACAACTTTCTTTCTCCTAATTCTTTCTTAATTTTTAATCCTTCTTAAGGAGAATGTGCCAAAAATCATCCTGGGCTGAATGCTCAGTAATGGAAACTACCCAGGTAAAGCTGCATAGGTAAAAGAGAGGAGGGCAGGAGACAGATTTTGTCTGGGGAACTAGCAGAGAGAGGGGGGGGGGAAAGTGGGAAGAAAAACTCTAGACTGGTGAGAGAAACAGTGTATGATGAGGCTTGAAGTAATCTTGAAGCTTTTGCAACTAGAAAACCAGAAGATGGTAAGGACAGACACTGATGGAGACCAAGGCTTCCAGGACAAAGAGACAGAAATGAGGCATGATCACTGAGACTGACTAAACAAAGTGAGCCAAGAGTAGAAGGGGACACTGAAAAAAAATAACCAGGGACAGTTTAGAAAAGTTAGGACTAGTCAAATAAATCCTCATATAAAGTGCAACTAAGTAGCTACTTTGATAATTTGATGAGCACTATTACTTACCTACACATCTTGAAAGGGTAGGATCTGGCACAAATCCCATTTTGCAGGTGCATCTGTAGCTGCCCATGGTATTCAAGCACTCACCATTAGGGCACACTCCCTGTAACTGACACTCATTGATATCTGTTGGAAAATTGAAAATAATCAGATACTTAGCTATGTATTAATAGTCTCCTTTCTTCAAAAGTTATCTTTTTAAAAATACATTAAAGAAGTTATCTTTTTTAAATAAAAGGAGAACTGTTACAAGTTTAACCCTACAATAACACTTTTCCCCATACTGACATAATTTGATTTATAACCTTTTAAAGTACTGCTGAGGAGATAACAGAAAAACAATTACCTTTGTACATCATTCTTAAGTACTTTGAATTAAAAAGCAAATACACTTTCACTGGCTTATCAACCCCTCTTTTCCTGACTAGGTGCTGGCTTGAGCAGGTAAACACAACTCACAAGAATACTCTTGGAGATAAGTTTTAAATGACGCAATATATTTTATGCAGGATAGAATAGTGCTTGACATTTAATACAGTTTTTATTAGTATTTGTCAGAATGGAATACTACTTGACACATTTAATACAGTTTTTATTAGTATTTGTATTCAACAGTGCCTAAAGGTTCATTGTGCTGGAAGAAGCACAATGCAAAAATACCATCTCTAGCTTAAAGAGCTTACCATCTTAAGAGCAAGAATGTGCTTCAGGAAGCACAGAACATATGTGATGGGGGGCAAAAAGGATTGCATCTGTATGAACACAACTTCATAAGGATCAACAACTGCTTTGATAAAATTTGATCTTACTAGGTTACCTGCATCAGTGTCCCTTTCAAGGTCCCACAGAAATATTCTCCCATGCTCCAAGCATTGGGTCTCAGGTCTTTACCACACTTAGGGTCATATCTCTAATTCACTTACTCTTAGGATAGGACCGGTCCGACAACCATCTGGACACCACCTGTAACTGAGTCAGCCAAACTAGGATTTTATTTCAGGAGACAGTAACAGTGTGGCTTGCATTGATAATCAAAACCTTAAAGTAATAAAAAAAATACCTCTCTCCCAACCTATAATTGCCTCTGTCATAAACTGTCATGTCTCCTCTTTCAGAAATATAGAGACAGCACATTGAGATAGACCTATTTCAAAATGTTTACATGCATTATTTCTACTAAAGAATTTTCCTCCCTATAGCTAACCTAGAAAAAAATGCCTACCTTGCTAGGGAAACACGGTATAAGTAGAAGCCAGATATTCCAGCTACCTCCTTGGAAAACAAGTAGTAGTACTCATTTTATCTAAAATATATTTATTATCTTTCCTCTTACTTTTTATAAAACCTTCACCATTTTGTTTGAACTCATTGTATGTTGCTGCCTGATTCAACACAATTAATGAAGGTAAGAAGTTGAACATCTGAAATGTAACAGATGTGCTGGAAGCCTACAGAAATAATCTTTTATGTTCCTATCACCTTCTTAATTTTTCCTTGCAATTTTGGCTACTTGTTCCACTACACAGGAGTGAATGACTTACACTCCCAGCACAAGAGACTAGCAGTTGCCATGTCAGCTGCAATTTTTTCCAAGTATTTAGTGTTGAGCATATCCCTCTGCTTTCCCAATCCTATACCTAATCCAGTATCTTGACACCACCTGGATCAACTTCACCCCTATGCACTTAGCCACACATGACAATGAGCGATAATTTATATCCTAGAACTCTGGATGAAAGGTGATGGAAACCACATGAATTACAAAGGATCAGCTCTGCCTCAAAGGAATTTTCAAGTGAAATTCCCAGACAATATGACCTTCTGACCTCAGTGGGAGCGGACTATTTAAAAATGAGAACGGTATAAGGAAGCAGCACAAATACCTGTTAAAAAACTCACCTACAGCAGTCTACCTTTTGATTCACTCAATCTTTGAGCAGGAAGACATTCCATATAAGGATTGCACTAATACAGAATATTTAATAAGATAGACTTGGTCTGATACACTTGAAAAATTTTTGTACCGATTCTTCAATTGCTTAGACTGGCTAGGTTCTTTCTTCTGCCCTGAAATCTCAAAGTATGGCTGAAGGCATCTACAGAGTGCCAACTCATCTCTAAGGGACGATCGTCATTGGTTCACTATCATTATCTTGTGTTACTACAGTGAGAAATGAACTTAAATCATAACAGCTAGAAAAGCAGAGACATGACTGAAACATCCCTAAACAGAAACATATTGATACTGTTGTAAAATTGGAAGGAAAGGACATATTGCTAACCCTTCACTTTCAAACATCAGGTTCAACAAGGAACATCATGGAAGAGAAGACTATGAAATACCTAGAAGCTCAAAGGAAATAATGGAATGCTCAACAATCCACTATCCGTTTTTGTACTTGTTGGCAACTTGGGTTGTCTGGTTGGTCCTCAAATGCTAAACCATGGAACTATTATACTTGCTTTGATGGAGCACTGAGTCTGCCATTCGAAACACATTAGAGGGAGAGACAGTAAGTTTTACTCTGAACACAGGGAAAAAATATCTCAATATCCAGATTTAAAAAATTAAAATCCGCAACTCAATTACACAAACCACACATACACACATGTCCAAAAAGTACTTATAGATTTTGGAGGAAGAGGAAGAACATAGGAGAAATTAAGAGAAGAATTAAAGATAGCATAAAAAAAAAAAAATTTTTTAACAAAGAATGCACTCTTTTATTCTAAATTGACTTGCTTCTTATCATTTAATATTAGTTACTCATTGATTTCACACTGGTACATACAGTGAAAATACTTTCTCACCTTCTACATTGTTACAGCCAGACATTTTTAAACTGTCTCCCTTTACGAATTTTAAGCATACATTTTTATTTATAGGAAAATTATCCCATTCTGCTGGAAAAAAAAAAGTGCAAGATATATGCCAGCGGACATACCCAATATCCTGTTTTTCCTATCACTTTCTCTGGAATATACATCCAAGAAGAATTAACAGTAATGCTTTGTCTAGTGAAGACAGCATTTAAATTTTAAATCACTGAAAAAATACATTATTATATGCTAACCTGACATCATTATGAGAAATTTGGCAGTCTTCCTAACTAGGAGAATAGCTCTACCACTCTACAAGTATTTAAGCTAGGTATGTGATTAGATAACATAGGTGCATTCATACTTTTGATGTTTAAAATGATAAATGATGCATTATTAGGAGGAGATTTTACTCACTGCTTTCATCAGGCTTAAGTTTAAGGAATGTTAAAAATCAATATATAAGTAAATTCTATTATATAAAAACTGAAAGTATATAAGCATGTAGAAACCAAAGTAAAGTCCTGCAAAAACACAGAAAAAAGAGAAACTTTTTTTTCTAACTTGAATTTGAATAATTTACAATACTAGTATTATCTGTACTACTCAAATGAACCATGCCTTTTAAGTTTGCAGAACTATATTTGTATGCTGTAGAAGGTAAAAAATGGCGTGTTATTATAATTTTCAAGCAGTTTTTCCACTCCGAATAACTTAGCCACTAGACTGAAATACATATATATATATTTACAGTGAAATGAAGAACGAATTCTGTTCTGTAGCAGGGGGTCTTTGCACTTACATTTTAGTTACAAGTTACAAACTTCAACTAGCTGAGTGATCTCAAACACCTTGTAGCAGACCCTTCCTATCTGGATTTTATAATGAATATTTTAACACAGTTTATATTTAAGTCTTTATACAGATAAGCTCTAACTGTGAATTTTAAAGTAAAACAAATTTAAATACAATTTAAATAGAAATTATGCACTTTTTACAGTTCTGAACATTATTTCATGTCACTGCTAGGAAAAACTGGCATAGGAATGTATTGGACACATTTGGGTATACTGGAAGAACCCTGTTTTACAACTTTGTGCCCACAAATAGTGAAGGTTTCATGGCATTATTTACTGAAGTGGCTAATTTGCAAGTAGACAGGACCTTCCTATAATACATCAAACACAGTCATCTTCCTTTCCAAATGATCCAAGTACTCTGCAGGAAACATTCACAGATGTTGTCATTACTGCCTCTGTATTAAATCTCTTCCCAGGTTAGCTGTTCTTGTTCTAGTATTTATTTTTTTAAAATAATCTAAAATAATAGTAATTTATTACTACAGATAATAGATACAGATAAAATAATAAATTAAACAAAAAATTCATATATACTCTATTTATTGCTACTTAATGTAGACACTGGTGCATTTAAGTATCAGCTTATATGGATGTCAATACTAACGTTCCTCCTAGAATTCCTGATACAGATATTCCTCTTACTAAATTTATCCAGTTTTTAAAGTTAACTTTATTCTGCATGTTCTGATGCCTCAACATAACTTAATTACAGCGTATTTTTAATGCCTTCTTTCTGAGTCATGTATTCTCAATGAGCTCATAAAATTACTGAGCTGATGCTCCGTGCTGAATTACACAAGCCTATCTGGGGATTCAAGAGAAATAAGCCATAAGCCGATTAAAAAAAAAAGTTCAAATTTTCAAAAGAAACATACATATGTGTATGTAAGACTAGTGTTTATTTAACAACATTGAGTAAAAAAAAAAAAAAAAAAAAAAATCCTTTCCTGATTTACTAATTCACTTTATTTCAGACTGTGGTAAAAGGCCACCTACCCAAAATGTTTCCTACCACCTGCCAGACTGTGCAGCTGTGCAAATCACACTGGAATCAAATTGTTCAGGCAGCTGGAAAAGAAATCTGATTCAAGATTAACAGATTTTTTTTCTTTTTAGCCCTCTATTTCTTGTATATAGACATGAAAAATATTTCAGTTTTAAATGAGTATAGCAATAAGAATCCATTGTAAAAACTAGAGAAAAAGCTACTTCAAAGTTGTCTAAATAATCTTTTGCTGTACAGAAGTATGAACTGATGACATGGTTGTAGAGTGATTTGATAAAACACTATCCACACAGAGCAAATTTTTAAAGAGGCTACATAGCAGTACCATAAAAAACATACAAATATAAATAAAGCTATCTAAAGACCAACTAAATACAAATTTTCAGTTTTTAAGGAAAAGATACTAATGAAGTTCCACTGGTAAAAATTCTCTGGTTTAG